GAATACCACATGAGCCCGAGGCAGAGATTGGAGAAATACTTCTACAAGCCAAAGAAAGCCAAGGATGGCTAGTGAAGGCCAGAAACCAGGAGACAGTGGTGGAAGAGTTGTACATCACAGCGCTCAGGAGGAACCCGCTCTGCTGACACCTTAGTCTTGGACTTCCAGCGTCTAGAACTGTGGGTGATAAATTATTTAACTTAACTTTGGTACTTCTTGAGGCCGCTTTAGCAAAAAACCAACTTTGCCTCACAGGAATGGCAAATGGGAAAGGCTGAGAAAAATGTGTACTGCCAGGGTCCTCAGGCACGGTCCATTCTCCCTCTCAAACTCACAGGAGGGCTACCAGGGGCGGGCTCTTACCTCTCTTGGTACAGATGAACAGGGGAAGCAATTCTTTTTCCCAGGAGAAGATGAGCTTGTAGGAAGAATAATGAGCCATCTGACAACTCAATCAATATTAAACAAATGACAACAAAAACAAATAGAAATAATTCATACTAGATGAAGCAGAATGAATGGAGCAAATAAAAAGATTTTTAAAATAGATATGATAGAGATCTCAAAGGGAGGGCCAACAAAACATGCAATACAAGGCCAGAATAAGCATTAGTAAAGAATAAATGACTCAAGAATTAGGATATGAGAAGTAGCATAGTTGAAATAAGACAACTTGATGAATAGGTTAGTAGAATCTATGGACCACAAAATTAATATATATATAAAGGAGAGAATAGTAAAGCCCCTTTCCTGTTGGAGGCAAAAATAGAGTCAATGCTGAGCTGTAGAAATCCATAGACAAAAATAAACACAAACACAGGACTTATATAATTAAGGATAAGTACTTTAAAGTAGAATAAATGACTTTCAAACAGTTGAGAACAACTTGGTAGCAGATAAATAAGTAAATAAGAATTACAATGGAATAACGGTTTCCTGGAGCATGCAAAAAATATTCACAAAATAAACTAGGTATTATCCAAATAATGATCTAAAAAGAACAGTCATATAATTAACAGATTAATAATCTGACAAAAATCCAGCATATATTTATTCTAAAAGCTCTCAGAAAATTAGGGCTAACAGGAATCCTCTCAGCCTGGGGAAAGGACACACACTTTACACACCTAAGTCCTACAGCAAATGATCTGTACTGTACTCTTTGATTATCCTTCTTAAGGTCAGGAAGACAAGGTGCAACCCTTTGTCACTGTTGCTGTGAATGTGGATTTTAAGGTCATGAAACAAGAAACAGAAATCTTAACGATTGAAAGGGAAGGGAATAGCAACATTAATTGAAGATAACATCTTATCTTCGTATTTATGCATATTTAAGAATTTTGCTTAACAAAGTTTGTTTTGTGCTGGGATGGAATCCAGGCCTTGCACATGCTAGACACACACTCTACCACTGAACTACAGCCCTTCCCACATAAGAGCTTTACAGAAGAGTAGTTTACAGTTTTATGCAACGAAAGAGACAAAGATGGTATGTGTGACAATAACACTATGTGTGTGAGTGGAATGACAAAATTGTCATGGAGTCAATCCCCCCAAAGTTAATTGAACAATTAAATGTGATTTTTAAAATTCAGCATTTTTGATAGTTAACATTCACAAATTTGTGGTTAATATTAAAAGTCCATGAGTAGCTAAGTTCATTTTTAATAAGAAGAGCAAAGAAAAGAGCATTCCCCAGCAGATATGAGGACACGCCTCGAAGCCAGTGGTTCTGAAAGATCACCGTGGCAGGAATATTTGAACGACAGTGGAAGGCAATAGAAGCAGACTTGTATGTAGATGAAGGAGGGATGGTTAAGAAGCTGGTGCTAGAAATGGACTCCTAGGAAGGACGAGAGAGAAGTCACATCTTACCTCACACCACAAAGGGAGGGACTGCTGCATGATAAGAAACTTCACTATGAAATATGAACTTAAAAGATAATGGAGGGGGGGAGTTCTTCTGCAAACCAATGAGGAAAGAGGAGAAAGCCAGCCAGATGATCAAAGACCAGGAGGAGGGAAGTCTGAATGGGAGACTCAGATGATTGACGTGTACAGGAGAGAGCCCTACTTCACTGGTGGTCACAGGGATGCCAGCTTCAACAGCAACAAGACACCATGCCACACCTGCTAGAGGGACAAGGTCAGACTGTTGGACAATAGTAGTCCAGCAGGGATGGCAGAGATGCCTGGAAAAGGGACCCTTCACCTCTCAGCTGTGGGAGCATCTCTTGTATCGGCACTCTGGGAAGCCACCTGGCAGAACTTGGAAATTTTTTTTTGTAAGTTGTAACAATCCCACTTTCAATTAAAAATATGAACTTCTGAGTAGGATTTGTTGACACAAAACCTCATGCTGGAGGACGAAAAGGAATTTATCAGGAGCACCTCAGATGGCAGAAGTCTGTGTTCATCCTCTGGGCAGCGTGTCTGGGGGAAAGAGCGTGTCCTGTGGATCAGACCCTCTGACCGCAACTCTAGTTCTCCTGTGGCACCACTGATAGCCTGCAGAGGCTGTGAAAGCATTCAGACTTTGACACCAAGCCCAGCTGCAGCAGATTACACTTGCTAACTGTCAGCTCACACTGAAGGGCCAGCCACATATGCCTAGATAAAGAATTTCTTTACAAAATCGCTTCCATAAAATATGATTAATGCCATGATGCCTTCTGGGGGTTGCCCATCCCAGTTCTGATGTGGAGGTTCCACAGATTGAGCCAATTAGAGCAAACTGCTGATTCCTCTTTGTCTCCTTAGTATTTAGCTGACTTCCATTTAATGTTCAGGTGCTTTAATCACTTTCATTGAAAGAAAGAGAAAACCACTTTCTTCCAAAATCATAGAAAGGTATTTTTTTGGACACGGTGATCTTGGTGCTTTTACTCCTCTGTATGTCCTTTTATTGAAAAACCATACTATCACCCCTGGCTGTGTACATGCCTGCCTCCCTGAATCTGCCCAAGGACCCCCCACACAGGAGCTCTCCATCCCAGTGCATAGATGAGCAACTGAAGCACGAAGGTCCTCAAGAGTAGGGTGTCCAGTGGGAATGTAAACCAGGTCTTCCAATCTCAAAGCCATTAAACCCAAAGCTAGAAGGTAAAGCCTTCCCCTTACTGAAGAATCTGCCAAGTTAAATGGGACCTGATTCTTCTCCTGGAGAATTTATATGCTTAGGCAATTACAAGCAGTAGAAAGTTTGGAATATTTTATGCAAAGAATTTAAAAAATGGTCTAAAAGATCATGAAGGGAAAGTTTAATCTCTCCGAGATGGCAGCACCTGATCTAGGCCCTGAATGTTGGGGAGAATTGGAATGTGCCAAGAGGAATTCTTTGTGAGGGGATCAACATGATTACAGGCTTATCTTTGAGAAAGAGCAGAATGTTTAACCAGAAATACTAAGGTTGGTTGGAAATGAAAGGCTGAATATAGAAAAGGGCACAGGAATCTGAGCTGTAGCTTCAGGGATGTGAGAGTTACAAGTCTTGGATTCCATAACATTTCAGAGAAAATACTGTTGAGGAAGCAAAGCTTCTAAACAAGATCCAGGAGCTTCGTAAGCCCCTGAAATTGTTGACCAAAATGTGTGAGTGTGTAAAAGTATGCGTATGTGCTGTGTGAGAGAGAGCTTGTGTGTGTGAGGGGAGGTGGTCATGCACACCATTTTCTTGGGAGAAGGTGGTGATCCATGGTTGACCACCAGTTCTCTGTGAACTGCAAGGCCTATGAAAAGGCACAGAGAATGAGCAGGGAAAGAACACAGAATTACACAGATAAAGTGGGTTTGGTAAAAGAGGTTAGAAGGAAACAGCTGGAAAGAACAACAGTGACTTACTATTACAGAGAGCAGGGTTATTTGAAGCATGGGGTGACTGGTCAACCATGTCTGATGAAGTCGAAAGATCAAGAATTTGGTTCCACCAGGTGTGATCACCAGTGCCTTTTTGGTTGTCAGGAAAATGTTTTTATGCACTAATGGATGCTTTCTTTCCATGAAGATGAAGAAGAGTCAAGCTAAATCACTAGCACAAGCTATGCCCTATGTAAGAATGCCCACAAGATGGCACTGTGTGCCAATAGGAATACTCATCTGCTCTTGGGGAGTGAGCTGTTTACCCTCCCCTTCCTTTATCCTTTGCTAATGCTCCGCAGCCTGAGCCCATGCATTATTTTTCTATTAAAAATGCTGGCATTTGGAAATAACATTCCCAATTTTCATGATTCCTGCCTGCTCTTTATGTAATCCTTGGTAGACTTTGGAAAACCTTCATTTAAATCCCAGTTCTAAGTCAGGAAGTTGGATCTGATTCCTAATTTACTAAAAGCCCTCATAAGGCTATGTGCAGTCACTGCTGGCATTTATTGGTCCTTGGGGACTTTGAGGAGGAAACGATAGGAGAGAAATAAAGGGAAGGACAGAGAAGTGTTCTAAGGTTGATCAGAAAAGCAAAGAGCCCGAGCCTTAGCTGTGACTGGTGTGGGGAGGAAATAAAGCATCTGTGAGTTCCACGAAGGGTATGTGTCATGTATCCCGTCATCCTGTAGTGTGTGTGTTACTTGGGGTTTTCACAGAACCCCACCTTATTCATTATTACTATGCAGAAAGAACAAATGTCTTAAATTAGGCATCAAAAAGAAGAGTTAAAACCCTTTCTTTGGTCAAAGGAGATCTTAGTACAATTTACATTTACAGGGCACTTAACCAGTTTACAAAATACCTTTATATTTCTACCACTTTAGTTCATTCTCAAAAACATCCTGTGGGAGAGCAGTGTAGCCAGTCCCATTCCACAAATCGGAACATGGAGACTCAGAGAGGTTCAGAGACTTGCTCAAGGATACAGAGCCACTGACTGGGTGAGCTTACCCCAGAGTTTGAGATCTTGTCTGTAAAATGCGGCTAATGAACCTACTGTGGCAGGGGTACGTTACACATTACTATACAGCAAACGTCTAGACAGAGTCAATAAATGTTAGCTATATATATATATATATATATATATATATATGTTAGAAAATGCAAGTTACAATGCCCATTTCCAATTCTCTCTCTCTCTCTCTCTCTCTCTCTCTCTCTCTCTCTCTCCCCACCCCCCCACCTCTGCCACAGTAGGTTCAAAGATTTATATCTTTGGTTACAATAAGAATCTTATCTGCTAGCTTGATAATAGTCTGCTAAAGTATCTTCCACATCCCCATCTGCCTATTGCCCATAGAAAGGAATTTATTGAAAAGACACGTTGGCTGTAGAGTCAGAGGAAAAGCAGAAGAGTCTGAGTTGGAAAGTTCTGGATGAAGAAGCAAGTCTTGCTGACCTAACTTAGGGTACAGGCGCACACTGTAGCTGGGGGAGGCAAGGATTCTGGGCTTCTAGTCCCTGCTAGGGGAGGAGGAGCTATCTGAAGTCCAATTCGGGGTGCTATTTCGGAAGAGGAAATGAGTATCTGGTGGTAAAAAGCTTCAAAAGCCCATGCCCAAGACATGTCCGGGATGAAGGTGGTCCTTTTTTTGTGGGGTTAGTGATGATGACCTGTATTTATGGAGCACCACGTGCTGGGCACCATAGCATTTCTTCACTTGGTCCTCCTGTGAAGCAAACAGTAATATTAATTTCACTTTATAGAGCAGGAGACTTAGGCACGTTCCACCAGAGTGACAGAGCTGAGCTGAGCTGAGCTGAGCTGAAAACACATCTAGGTTTGTTATACCAGAACACAACAGGATTTAGAGGATTGTTGTAAAAATCAAGAATTAATCTCAGATGGAAACATGGAATTGCCTGCATGTTTTAGGCCTAGAAAAATGGCCCTGCAGATAACTCCAGTGAATGCACGTACAGCACTCAGAGCAGTGCCTGGGACTTGATCAAGTGCCAAGTCGTATTATCAGAGGATCCCGCCTCTCATGGGCTTTAAGAACTATGGGAGTGTCAAGGTCCAAAGCCCAGGACAGTAACTTTGGCTAGTGCCACACTGCAGTGTTCTAGGACCAAGCCAGGCACTGGGCTAGTTCCTTTCCAATTAATGATATCTATATGTCTGCACCGTTTCCTTCTGATGGTTCTTCTCAGACTTGTCTTGAGAACAATATGTTCTCAGGGACTGGAAGCAAAGCAAGATTTTTTTTTTTTTTAAACCAGGAATGGAACTCAGGGGCACTCAGCACTGAGCCACATCCCCAGCCCTATTTTGTATTTTATTTAGAGACAGGGTCTCACTGAGTTGCTTAGTGCCTTGTGTGACTGAGACTGACTTTGAACTCTCAATCCTCCTGCCTCAGCCTCCCTAGCTGCTGGGATTACGGGTATGAGTCACTGTGCCTATCAAGAAGATTGTTTTAAGGCAATGCAGCAGCAGATAAAGAATCCCTTTCTTTATCATTTGGGGCTGGATCATGTCTTCCTCCTCTGTATACCTGGCAAGAATGTCCTGGTAGCTGTATCTCTAAAACCACCTTGAAGAAATTAACTGTAGAATCCAGGTGTCCCTGGGAGCCACTTAGCTCAATGTTTGAGCTGTTTATCCACAGGAGGTGAGGCCAGATAATCCAACAGCTGCAAAAAAGATGGAGGTCCCCCTGTGCCTAGGCAGGGTCCCCGAATACTAGTACCAGCCCAGGAGCCCTTTGAACCTCACATTAGGTAGAATAATTGATTCAACGCCCCAAAGGTCTCAGCACACAGCAATGCACCAGAAAGAGAAAAATAACTCCTCCAGGCATAATCCCCTGCCTCCCTGCAAACACGAGCCACTCTCCAATCTGCCCAAAGCAACAAGGTCTTCCAAGAGCCACAGGTCACTTATTTTCTGGAAGAATAAATAAGAACCTGTTTTTGGTGAACTGATTTCCAAGAAGCAAGAGCCTTCCTGAGTGCTGATGCACTTCTGGATGCATCCTGACTCTGGCAGTTTCCAGCATACCATCAGGATACCCCTCCCGCTGTGAAGTCCATGTTGGAACTTACATTGTCTTTAAAAGGCACAAATAGCTGAACTGCATAATGTAACCTGATGTTCTGACAACCTCACTTATACTCAGGCTAAATTTAAAGGTCACCATTGCAGGGAAATAGTGGCAAGAGAATGAAAGTGCCTTAAACATGGTTTTCATAGACGTTCCCTCATTTTGAGAGTCTTACACCATAAAAGAGGCAAAATTGCCTGTGAGTTTAAAAAAATACATATAAGTGGAGAATCCATTTCTTGGGAATGTGATAGCTTTAGGAAAAAATTGTAAAATAGGTAGACACAGTGTGAAGTGGCTGAAGTTTGTCTTCGATGTTTTCAATCATCTGTGCCCTTTTATTCTTTCCTCCTGTTTTTATGCAGCACCTACTGTGTGCAAGAAATGGCAATAAGGCCTGTGATTGTATAGAGTGGAGACAGTGCTTGTCTTCACAGAGCTCACAGTTTAATAGGAAAGAAAGATATGGAAACAAATAATTAGAACAGAGCAAGATAACACAAGAAATACATTGCGGAAGGCAGAGTAACGAAAGCTGAACTAGTCTAAGTGTGCACAGCACCTCCCCCAATAAAGCATGGCTTTACCTGAGTGCTAATGGCTGAGTAGGCAAAAACTGTCTGAGGAGAGGGTGAAGCGTGACACAGAGGGCACAGCATATCTAGAAGCCAGGAGGGAAGGAAGAGCACCAGAGACAATCTAGATCAGGAGTTAGCCCATAGGTCCAACCTCACCCCCTGCCTACTTTTGTAAATAATGTTTTATTTGAAAACCACCACATTTGTTTATTTATTTATTTTCTATGACAACTGTTATGCTACTATTGTTGAGTTGAGCTGTTGTGATAGAGAGTGTATGGCAACCGACCCACAGTAGTATTTAATAAATAATGGCTGTTACAGTATTTGTGTTCTTCTCATTTTGCAGACATGAATTGAGGTAAAATGGATTAATAAAATTGAAGTAAAATGGATTAATAAAGAATAGGAAGTTCCCGTGTTCCTAGGAAAGGGTTCATTGTTCTTTGGCCACAGCACTAAGCAGCAGTGAGTCTTGGTTTTGAACTTATCTTAACTGGTTGCTGACCACCTGGCATCAGTACCCACACTACTGGAGTCATCTGTCAGTGAAATGTCACACGGCATCTGTAGCTAAACACTACACGGTCTGTGAACACCACCACTTCTGAAAAAAACCATTAATCTCCAAACCCGATGGATCCCAAATAAAAATAGTTAGCTCTTGGCTTTGCATAGAGAGGCTAGCCCTTATTTGTCTTCCTGGTTATAATGGCCTCTCTTTTAAACATATCCCCAGTGAGAAAAGTGATCACTGCGGACTTGGAATTCAGGCATATCTTACCTCAAAGCCTTTCTCATCTGCTCCTAAGGTCTCAGAGTTTGGAATGCACACTGTGGGTGTTAGTTGAGATGATGGTACACAATTTTGGCATTGAATGACATCAAGTATGGAGGAAATAAGGGAAACTCAGCTGGAGGCTAGTCCATTGCAGTAAGAAAAGAGATCCTGAGGCCAGACCTCTAGTAATTGTGTTAGTCCTTGTGCACAATGAATCAGCCCAAGCTTAAGGCTTTGAATACCAACAAAAATTATCATTTTATACAGATTAAATAGACCAGGGATTTGGGAGTCTGAGCTGGGGTTACAAGGTTACAGTTAGGACTCTTGAGGTTACAGTCAGGATGTTGGCCAAAGCTTCAGGCATTGGAAGGCTGAATGGGGCAGGAGGCTCCTCCTCCAAGATGGTGCACTCACACCCTGGCAGACTAGTGGTGCCTGCTGATTGAGGCCTTAGTTCTTTGCCTCCCCAAAGGGCTGCATGAGTGTGTTCATGACATGGGAGTAGGCAGGTCATCAGAGAATCAGGCAGAAACAACAGGATCTTTTATGACCTACACTTGAAAGCCACACACTGTCATATATGTGATATTCTTTGATCACACACACTATATGGGAGTTGACTGCTCAAGGGCATAAATAGTAAGAGGCAAAAATCACTGAGTGCCACCTTGGAGACTACTACTGTCACTTACTAGCTATGTAATGTTGGGCACAAGGAGGGGAGAAGAGGCTAACAGGAGTAGGTGTTTGACAAGCAAAGTCATGAAAAGTCACCAAAGGGCAGTTTTCACTTGTTTAATGGCACATGATTATTTTTGTCCATTTATAGATGCATTCTAAAATTTTTCTTTTAATAAATTTATGTCTTTCCTGGGTTCCTCAAAGCAGAACCTTACATGTGGTCTATTCATCTGGAAAGTGCTTCCAGGGAGCAGAACTTGGGAGTAGGTAAAGAAGCAAATGCAAGAGTGAGTTGTCAAGTTGTCCCCTGAGGCAGAGCATGGGTGTTGGTCTCCCCAGCCTCATATGAGGGCCCTGTGAAATTCTTATCTCCCTGAGAGATTAGAGGGAAAAACATATTTACCGATTTCTTTCCTTAGTTAGTCAAAGATGATTTCCTTGCCTTTACTTCTGGGATGCTTGCTGCATGGAAATGTTCCATAGGCCCCACACAGAGCTAGAGGCTGTCTCCAAAGATTTCTGGTGCCTCCCGGGGCCAGGCTCTCTGTATTTATTTATTTTGCAGAGCTGGTCAAAGTCTGTTGCTTGAGACTTCTATAATAGCAGCTGTAGAAAAATATATCCAAATACAACCCAGGAAGATTTCTGTGTCTTTTGAGGGATGCCCAATAGAATGTATTAAAATGGAAAAGCAGATTTTAAAAATGAAAAATAACTATCAACCTGTAGAGAACTTGGAAGCATCCCCTCCTTAAAATACAAAGTTTGACAAATTGAAAATCAACCACCTTTCTTGGCACATCAGAGAAATGTGAATGGAGCAGAAAATGTCACCTCTGACTGTAAGTAACAGGAGCATCCAGAGACTTGGTGACTTGGGGAGAAACCACTGGAGCCATGAACTTGTGGGAACATTTAGATGGTAACTTTTGAAAACTGAGTTGGAACTGGGACCTGAAGTGTAGGGAACCCCCAAATTGTCAGGGACTTTTCCCTCCGGGAACCCCATCAACTTTTCTATAAATATAAAACGATTCTAAGTTTTATTTAATTTCAAATAATGGGGGAAAAGAGAAGAAAGAAGAGAAAAAACAGGTTTTAGTGGATCAACACATTGCTTCCTTCTAATAAACACATACATTTACGTCTTCTCTAATTGTGTACTAGGCCTGTGATAACTATCTTTGTAAAGGTCACATTTAAACACAAGCCTATGAGCTAAGTATACAGAAGAGGATTCGGATTTCCAGGTTTAAGCAACCTGTCCAGCAAGTTTCTTACCCTCTCTGTGCATTTTGTTTTCCTAAATTTGTACCAAGGGGCTCATAATGAGTTATTGTAAAACTGAAGCCAGGAGAGTTTCTGAAGCTGTGCTTGGGATGTGGAAGCCATTCCTTGCTGACAGTTGTCATCACTGTCATCGCTCACGGAGGGGGAGCACTGCTTCCTATCTTAACCCTCAGCTCCCTCTGTGTAAACTGGGGGTGAGTCTCACTGACTTTCTAGGAGGAGAAAACAGGTTTTGTTAGGTGACTGTTTCCCAGGTTCTCAACCCCCTCCCCAAAGCGTCTGGGTGACCTGGAGGCAGCTTGGAGACCTCAGGCCCCCCAGGCTCCTGATTCTGCCCTGTTGCCTCTGCTTCCAGGGCTCTGTGGGGTTTGACCAGAGACAAGTCCCTTCTCAGCCAGGGGAACACACACAGCCCTGCTGCCGATGAGGCTGGCTCCTCTTCATCTCCAAGGTTATCATTAAGCCTGAACCAAACAAGGGGGGTCCTGGCATATGAGCCCTACTCCTGAGAACCCCCAAGTTCTTGGAGCTGTGGATGGCTGGTGTGCACTTGGTCACTCTTCTGTTTATAGCTCTTCACCATCTGCAGCAGACCTGGCACCAGGTTCCAGAAGGGCCAGTGCAGCTGGGAGATTAACTAAGGTTCTGACCCAGTGATTGTCTGGAGTCCAAATCGGTCGCTGTTCTCCCTGTGGAAACACACAAACAGACCCCCGACTCCAGACAATTACTGGGTCAGGACCTTTCCATTCCTAAAATAACGCCTGTTGAGGCTAGACACCTACAGCTACTCTTAGCTCCTGGAATGAGTATCTTCCATCTCCATTGGAATCAAATGCTCTCAAGCTCTCTGGATCTGGCAAGGTAGAACCTAGAGAGTTCCAGATTTCCTGGTAGGTCAGCTTTCCATCCACATCCTGGCCAGTCTTGTGGAATAAATCCTGAAGATATTCAACGAGCCTTTTGCTGTATGGTACCTTCAATGCTAGAAATTCCTGGTAGGGAGACAGGCCTTAGTTGGGCAGCTTTCTCAATTTGGTCTCCAAGAAATTGTGAGAATTTTGGCAATGTTGATGGCTTTGATGTGAAACTCTGTACTTGTTCTTGGTCTGCAATCTCTGGAGGCCTGTTGCTCTCAGGCCAGCACTGGAGGACACAGGCTGGCTGTGCAATTGTCATCCTTAGCCCATGACATGGACACAGCTTCCCTCCTCAGCCAGTGGCACTGGCCCCAAAGATGTCTTTCTCAACAGGTGAGCTGCTAGCTGGCCGGGGTGGGCTTCCTCAGGGCTAGCTCCTCTACCGAGTCCCTGCTGGAGTGTACCCATGTGGGCCAGCAGGCCTTTCTTCGTCCTGTGGATGGAAGCCCCCTTTCCAGCTGAGGGCTGCCCATCCCCCTGTGTGCTTCCGGTGGTCTGTTCACCATGAGCCTCTGTTCCTGCTCCAGATTCCTGCCTGGACCAGGGATGAGCAGTCGGAGGCCACGCCAGAGCTCTCGTGGGTGCTGGGGAGGGAAAAGGCGTGTGGTTTGCTTTGGCAAGTGGAAAATAAGTGGAAAATGGAAGGATCCTGCTGGGATGAAGCTGGACAGCCACTGCTGGGAGACCTGGAGAGACCTACAGAGAGAGAAGAGGCAGAGGTATGGAGATGGGGGAGTGAGGAGGAGATGGGGGGGCACTTGAACCCCTGGATTTATGTGGATTTGCACCAGCCTCATTCATGACCATGCAGTTTCATTAGCCAACAAATGTTTCCCTTTCCTTCTCTTCTCCTCCCTCCCCTCCCCTCTTTTTCTGGTCCCTCCCTTTTCTCAAGTTGAAGCTGGAATTCTCAACTTATTACTGAGACATTCTGACTTGGTTGCCTGCTGTGTGTTGGAACTGTTGTGGGTGGTGGGCACAGGGGGTGAGCCAACAGGAACTCTCTTTTCCTCACCGTTTGGGGGAAAGAGTCAGCTCAAGAACTGCATGAGGGTGTCCAGAGGCCTCTGCTGGGAGGCTGATGGCCACAGTCCAGCCCAAGTCCTGGCTTTGCTCCCTGAGCTCTAGGCCCTCAGCCTCAGCTGCACGTCCCTCTGGGGGATCCCGGGTAGAGCTCCCAGACCCCGTGCCTTTGCATGATCAAATCTCCATGACTTGCAGATGCCCTGAGTCCCGGGAGTATAGGGGTGGTGGGGTCTGTAGCCTGCTGTGAGTAGCCTTGGCTAGGGCTCCACATGCTCTGAAAGTCTCCAGCACACTGAAAAAGGATATCACTTTCTCAGTGCAGGAGAAGTGTAACAACCCTGTGCCAGAGCCGTGGCACAAGGCCTGGCACATGGCAGGCTGTCTTGAAGGAGCCATGTACACTTCCCATGGGTGCCGGGATGGGAGGGGCAGGGACAATGCCACCTGTAGAGAGGAGGAGACCTCTGAGCTGGGCCTCCAAGAATGAGTTGCTGTTTGGCAGGGCAAAGCCCAGGGAGTGATGAAGCCTCTTCTCAGGTCCGCAGAGGCCAAGAGCGGAGGCAGGATTGGAACCCATGAGTTTTGGCAGCTGACACCATAGGCCTGAGGGTTCAAGTCAGAGCTGCCCTTGCCTGCCCTCCACTTGCCGGACCGCTGCCCTGTGGAGCTTGTTTCTGGGTTTGAGGGGAGCAGCCTGGTTAAGCACAGTGCCCTGGGATGGGGGCTGGAAGGGAAAGAGGAGACAGACCTGGACAACCAGAGAGGAGGCAGAAGGTGCTGGGAGCTCGAAGGTGGGCCTCACAGGGGAGGCGAGGCTAGGGCTGGATTTTGGATAGAGTCTCTAGGAATGAAATGGAGCCAAGCGGAGGCACCTAAGGCAAAGGGATGTAAAAGTTCCAGAAGCTGGGAGAGGTCAGGTGGCTGGGCTGGGCTGGGCTGCAGGGATGAGGCTGCTAATTGGTGACTTACATGTTAGTACAAGAAAGGCATGAAAGTGTTTTAGTTCAAGAAATGGAGAAGAGGAGCACGTGTTCCTAATGTCTTTTTGCAACTCCACAAGAGCAAAAGGTGAGGGGCAGGAGCTGGTGGTGCATACTTACTTAGTGCCGTTCCAAGTGGGAGGGAATAACGGCAGGTGGGATGGAAGGACGGCCTTTTACATTCATTCAAGAGGTTGTCAGCATCACCACAGTGCAACGGCCTCACAGTGACATGTGGAAGTTACCACCAACACCATCAGAACCAACACTGGTCTCCCACTTGCTATGTGCCAGGCACTGCCTGTCTCAAGCTTCGTTCCTGAGACGACACCTTCACTTATTCCATGCATGATTTATGGGAGCACCAACTCATGCCAATTTCTTTCCCAGGTGCGGGACACACACAGCACACAGAAGACCAGTGCTCCACCCTCGTGTCACCTGCTGGCAGGGATAGTGATGATTAATTATTTTATAAGAATTGGAGAGGAAAGTTAGGCAAGGACTGGAGACAAATTGACAGATGGTAACTTCTTAGGTGGGATGATCAGGGGAGGCCTCCCAGTGCAGGTGACGTTGAGCCTAGACCTAAATAGAAAAATCTAGCTGAGTGACCCTCTGGAATAAGAAAGAATGTTCCCAACAAGGAGTCCTCAGAGCAAATACTCCTGAAGTTATTTAATTAATTAAATTAATTAATTAATTGATTTATGAACTCTAGCTATAACACCAGGGATTGTTCTAGGGGCAGAAACTAGCAGCAAACAAAAAGAAAAAAAAAATCCCTGAGTTCGTGGTTCTTATATTCTAATGACTAGGACCATAATTTGCCTGCTTGAGAAACAGCAAAAAATTTGTGTCATTGAAGGACGGGGCCCAGAGCCTGGCCTGTGGACCTTACATCACACCAAAAAAACTGAATGAACTTTCCTGGTCTTCCCCAAGCTTATTCTAGCCACAAGAAAAAGGCATTTACCCCATGGCCTCACTACCCCACTCATACAGCTCAATTCAGCTAGCTCTGAGAGAGAAAAAGACTGGTAACTCATCCTGTAGGTTGATGCTATGGTTTGAAACCTTGTATCTCTCCAAAGTTCATATTGACAAGTAATTACCAACGCACCGGTATGAAGGGGGGGGCCTTCAGGAGGAGGTCAGGCTACGAAAGGGCTGGAGGGAGCCTGCTGGGCCCTTTTCGTCTTTGGCCATGTGACGATGCATCCCTCCTTCTCTCTGGAGGACACAGAACAAAGTCACCACCTTGGAAGCAAAGACTGAGCCCTTGCTGGACACTTAACTTGCTGGTGCCTTGAGAACGGCCTTCCTGTCCTCCAGAACCATGAGAACTGGATCTTTCTTCTCTATAAATTACCCAATTTTTTCAGGGTTCTCCAGAGAAACAAATGGATAGGATGGAGATATCTATATATATAATCATAAGAGGGGATTTATTAGATTGGTTCACGTGATCACAGAGGCTGACAAGCCCATGATGGTGGTTGGCAGACTGGAAAGCCAGAGAAATCAGTAGGTGCTTAGTTAAAGAAGCTGAAAGCTTCAAAAAGTTGGAGAGGCCAATAGTGCAGCCCCAGGCTGAGGTTAAAGACCTGGAAACCCTCTGGAGAGCTGATGGTCCAAGTTCAAAGGGTGCAGAACCTGGAGTCTGATGTCCTCAGGTGACAGCAGCAGAAAAACATATCTACCTGGGAGGGAGAGTGAGTGAGGGCTAGTTTCCACCTTCCATGCAGCCCCACAGCCTGTGTCACACACAGTCAGGATGGATATTCATTCAATTCTTGTTCTCATTTTTCTAGATGAGGAAACTGAGCCACCCATGAATCTCCTCTGGAAACACCCATGTAAACACACACAGAGGTAGGCTTTGCTAATTCTTAAGGCATCCCTCAATCCAGTCAAGCTGACAATCAAAAACAACTATTGTAAAAACCAGTATCAGATACTTTGTTAAAGTAGCAACAGAAGACTAAGACAGTTGGTATAAATGCTGGAGAATCCACCCAATCTGAAGCTTCCTTAAGATTCCTTGCAGTCCATGAGATCACTGGTTCATGTTCATTCTTGATTTTGGCCACTGGCAGGGCTGGATGTCCACCAACATCCTAGAATCAGCTGACCTGGCTAAAGTTTGGCCTTTGCAGAACACTAAGCTGACTTTGGGCCAATTACTTGACCCTCTGACAACAAATCAGCCCATCTGCACAATGTGATAAAGAGGCCCAGTTTTATGGTTTGCTGGAAGACAGGCACTGGTTGATATCTGAACACTTCTCGTGGCCCCTCTACATGATTAGTGGGAATTAAGCAAAAGAAGCATTTGAGATCCATCGTATAAGACTGGATGGTGGAGGGAGGTCACAAATTTCCTTGTGGAAACCTTTCACCATGGGAGCTTTGTTCTCCCCCAGACCTGCTCAGTGGACAGGCACCACTACTACCCATCCCCTCCTGTGTGCTAATAGCTTTGCCCCCCATTCTCATGTGATTTTCTCCCAAATACTGTTGGGTAAAATTTCTTGTTCTCATTTTTCTAGATGAGGAAACTGAGACTTAGAAAAGCTGAGGAACTTGCCAGGGCCCTGAAGCCATGTTTGGCAGAGCCTGTAAAAAGAGACCCTGTTCTGGAGGGTCTCGGCCCTTTTCTATCTCTGAAGCTCATGATCTACTTCAGTTGAAGAGAGAGGAGCAGCCCTTTGGTTCTCAGACACGAGCCACGACTGAGAGTGAGCAGGACAGAATTGTTTTTCCATATCCACCTCCCTTCAGCATCCTCACACAGCACAAGTTCTAGAAGCTTAACCTTGACAGGACATTTGAAAAACACACTAAAAACTAAATAAAGACACTACAAACTTTCTGTTAGCTTTTATCCAATTTGGTGCTATACATTTTCTCAATAATGATTTTTTGGTTATAAAGTGGAGAAGCCAGCTTGTGTGTGTGTGTGTGTGTGAATGTGTTTAAGTGCATGTGTGTATACGTGTATGAGTGTGTTTATGGGCATGTGTGTGTATGAGTGAACACATATGTTCAACACACATATGTTGAACATATGTGTGTGTGTGTGTGTGTGTGTGTGTTTGTTCCTTAAGAAATGATTTCCCTTGAAAGCACTAAAAGGGCCTCTTTCCCTTAGAAGAGGTGTTGACATTCAGCTTATCTGAATTCCCTAAAGCTGTATAGCAGTGGGAACGTCTCTTTTCCTTTGTGAAACCTCATCTCAGCACCAGCTACACCCAATAACTCAAGCCAGTCGGTGCCACTTGAATCACTGGACTCCAGTACATCTCACCTACCATCCATCTCCTCAACTGCTCCCCCAACCTCCTCCTGAAGTGCTTTTGGCAGAACAAGTAAAGGCAGCTTCTTACGCAGCTCCGGGGGCTCCAGCAGTTTTTGACTTTGCTGGACCTGTAGCTGCATCTCGCCAGCCCTGCCTCTGTCATCACAGGAAACTGTCCTTACCTGTCTGTGGGCAAACCTGCCTCCCCTCAGAAGGACAATGGTTGTTTGATTAGGGTTCATTCTTACCCATTATGACCCAAGTTTAATTTGATGACTTCTGCAAAATCCCTATTTCCAAATTAGGTCACACTCACAAATTCTGGGTGGACATGAATTTTTGGTGACACTATTCAACCCAGAACAATTATCCAGTAGCTGTCGCAAACAGGCCAAAGAAAGAGAATTGGACTTAAAAGAGAGCAGCCCTATAGAAGTTCTAATAAAAGACTTGTAGCCAAGATATACAAAAAACTCTTGAAGCTCAAAAATAAGAAAGCAAACATTCCAATGGGAAAAAATGGCAAAAATTCTGAACAGACACCTCAGGAAAGAATATAGACAGATGGAAAGTAAGCTTACAAAAATATGCTCTCCATCATTTGCATGGTAGGCAGGAAAGTGCCCCTCCAAACCTGCCCATATTCTACTCTCCAGAAACCGAATATGCTACATTTCATGGGAAAAGAAACTTTGCAGATGTAACTTAGATTAAGGGCTCTAAAATGGGAGGTTATCCTGAATTACCTTGGTAGGTCCAATAATACGAGTCTTTGACCTAAAACAAAATTTCCAACTGTAGTCAGAAAAAGATGTGCTGATGGAAGCAGGGTCAGGATGATGTTTGCTGTGGAGTTTGAGGATACACAGGAGGTCTGTGAGCTCAGGAATGCAAGCACCCTGTAGAAACTAGAAGTCAAGGAAATCTATTCTCCTGAAAGGACTGAAGTCCTGCTAAAACCATAATTTTATTCCAGTGAGACCCATGTTGAACCCCTGAACAATATTATAGAAATATAGAAAAAACATGTGTTATTTTAATTCAGTAAGTGGGAGGCAATTTGTGACAATAGCAATAGAAAGCTAATACAATTCGTCATTAGGGAAATGCAAATTAAAACTACAACGAGATACTGCTACATCCTTATTGGAAGGTAAAAAATCCAAAAAACTAGCATCAGTTTGCAGCCACGGAAATGTGCATTGATTGCTGGTCTCTCTGTACAGAGCTTTGGAGGACTGAGGGTTCTTCAATGCTGGGTTGAGCTTTGCCATACAATTAGCATCTGTGTTCCAATATATTTACCTCGCTGACTTGAAAATTCATGTTCACACAAAAATTTGCACATGAATATTTATAGTAGCCTTTATTTATAATCTCCTGAAACTGAGAACAAACTGATAGTTTTTAAAGTACTATAATTAAAATGTGGTGTATATCTATATAATGGAGTATTACTCTAAATTGTTAAACAGATTTTGCCATCAAGCCAGGTGGGTACATGGATGCATCTTACATGCACATTGCTGAGTGAAAGAGGCCAGTATGGAAAGCCTAAACACTCCAGGGTTCCGTTTACATATTATTCTACAAAAGAGAAAACAACATTCTATAAAAAACAAAACAAAGCACAATAAACCACAAACAGTGACTCTTGGGAGGATTGAATAGGTGAAGCATCTGGAATTTTTTTTTAAGGCAGTGAAACTATTTTGATTAATATTGCAATTGTAAATTCGTGACACTTTGCTCTTTCTCTGGAAAGAAAATTAAACATTACAGCACAAAGAGCGAACATTAAGGAATATCATTTAAAAATAGTCACCCAGGAGCTTGGGACATGGCACATGGAATGCAGAATGCACCAACTGTGTTGGTTGCTGTACTAGTTACAGGAGAGCGGGAGCACCTGGGGGTGCCAGAAGGTGAGGAAGGGCTTGGGAAAAAATGGAAAGGAAACCAACAAACAAACCGCACAGCCATGGGTCAAAGGAAAATAGGAGGCAACTGCAAGAGCTCTTTATGGCCAAAGCTGGACTGATCTGAGCAAAAACATAAAGTGACATTGGGCTATGATCGAATAATAAAGTAAGCACTTATGCTGATTTAAATAAATGAGCAAATTTTAAAAATGGAGAATATATATATCTGTCATGCAGAAGAATTCCAAATAGCGTATGCAAGTAGATCTCCAGGAGGCAGACTATGACCTGCTCCTTTCCAGGTGTGGGTTGTGCATAGTTACTTCTTTCCAAAAGGTATGGTATGGAGAGAAGGAAGGAGTAACTTCTGTAGTGGAGGATCTGATAAATGTACCCCAGCCAAGTGACCAAGATCAACCCAGTCACAGACCATGCTGATAGCATGTGTCCTTATGTGATGCAATGGGAATGGCTTTTGGCCTCTTTGATCTTTATCTCTTTGGGGTTCCTTCTCCTAAACCCTTTTCATGGGAAAAATCCAAATAGAGGGAAACAAGATGTGTTCAAGAACCTCCTCTGCTGACTAAGCCCTATCAAAAAGAGGAGAGTTTTCACAGACTCATAAGTCATAGAAGGGTGTGGAAACAAAGGGAAGAGCCAGAACAAAGATGCACAGGTTTTAAAAAAGAAGATGTGTGAACCAGAAACCCAGCAGCTAGTCTTTGATTTTGTTTGTTGTTTTCTCTCCCATTTCTGCTTTCCTGAGTTTGCCACTGCGATGTCTCTTGAGTTAATCTAGTTCTCCACAGCTGTTCCAACCTGCTTTGGTGCAGGTCCCCACCCTCACTCACACAACACAATTAGCTGGGTTGCTAGTTCAGGTTCTGGAACTCAAACTCAATTTTTTATGCTTTCATTTCTTCACCTTTAAAATGGGCATAACAAGGCTACCTCATTTTTGTGCATATTAAATTAGTAAATATGAAGAAAGAGCTTAGGATAGGGCCTGGCACATAACACTGTGTGTTAGCTACTGTATTATTACTGTCCTTTATTTTTCAACATTAAGCCAAGAATTACTATAAAACTAAACTCAAGAAGCAAAAGGAACATTTTGCATATAGTATCTTTGGCTTTGTTTCTGTGTGATTTGATAATATCCATGCAATTTCACTGTGATAATGTGTAACTCATTCATTCCATCAAGTGCCCAAGTGATGATGAATGCAGAGGTGTGTGTGTGTGTGTGTGTGTGTGTGTGTGTGTTTGAAAATTAAAATGATTTAAAGACTGGTCATCAACAAAGAAGGTAGCCTTGGGGCTTTTCATAGTCTGTGTGTGGTGGGGGTATTGCAATTATCCTACTGATCCAAGGAACAGACCCTGGTAGGGATGGCAGAGAAGTCAGATAGAGCAGGTCACATCATAGGATGTCAGTCAGCCTGCAGAGATCATTCTAAGGCAGAATAGTGCAGAGTTTAAGAGGGTGGACAGGGGTGATAGACAGCCAGGGCTTCCTTCTCTCCCACCTGTTTGCTTGGTGACTTTGGACAGGTTATGGAATCTCTGTGTCCCATTGTCCTCAGTGTAAGGTAGGGAATGATGAGTCCATTCTCTTACCTTGGGGTTGGAGTGCAGTTCAAATGACTTAATAAAGCTAACCATTCAGAGCAATCCTGGGACATAGAGAGAGATTTCTAAGGAGTCAGAGACCCCAGAGAGACAAACACTCCCATCCTGACCCTTTCAAATAACCAGTTTCCCAGCTGCTCCTGTGAGGCCAGCCAGCAGTGGCCACTAGGATGCTGAACATGGCCATGCAAAGATCCAGTATCAGGGCTCGTCAACAAAGGAGCTCACCTCACTCCGTTTCATCAGTGTGTAGGCTCCTTGGGCATCTTCAGGGGTACGCTGATTATGATGTCGAGACCCAGATCATTCTAGTTTCAGCCAGTCCTAATGATTAGAATCCCCATCCCCCAGTAGGAGTTGAAAGCTCCTCTGTTTCTTTCCTCCAGTGGCTAACTTTTGCCTGACGGTCAGAGTGGACCTAGTCGTCCCTGACAGTCCATGGGGATACTCTGGGTCTTCCCTTTCCAGCCTAACTTTAAAACAGGGAGAGAAGTGCCAGGGATCATAGGCTGACTTTAGATACCTGAAGTAAATGAGTGTGTTTTCTAGGAGGCCTCCCGTAGGAAGCCATGCAGCTCTGCAGGACTCCAGTGCCCAACAAAGGGTGGAGCCGTGTGTGTTTGGGAGGAGGGCTCCAGGCCCTGTGTTCCCCAGTGTGCTCGCTCGAGGGCCTGAACAGCCTCTCTAGAAGCTCTGTTTCCTGATGATCAGTGGAAAAAATCCCCCAAACAGGATTGGTCGTGTGAAATTTCAGATTTTATGCAAGTTCACAGCTAGAATCCGTGCACAATTACTGCTTAGAGTTTGATTTTGTTCACTGTGAAAGCCCCGCGGATTAGGCCTCTCTGAAGAAAGGAAAAAGCCACTTCTGAACTTTTAGCCTCTGTTGGATACTCTGCTGCGATAGAACAGTCTTCATACTGCCAGAGCATTTACTATGTAAACGCATTCTTTTCAAGGTCAGGGTTTTAGAGCCCAGGGCCACTATTGAAACTGCAGGGGCAGAACTGGAACAATCCTGCCGGCATCCTAAAAATAAGCAGCTTTATTTCCAAACTACAGGATGTGACTTTAAAGAGAGTCTCAACAATTTACTTTTTTTGACTGCCACTTATATCTCTTTTCAGTCGATTTGACCTGGGAAAACGAAGGTGGCTCCAGACCCAGGGGCGGGGGCACTGATTTCTATGGCTGGCACGCGATCAGCCCTCTGGGATGGTGGTTCTAACATTCCAACCTTCATCTCCCTCAGAATCCAGGGGATGAACTGTCAGATTCCTGGTGGCTGAATCCCAGGCAGGATCGGGCCTGCACCAGACACAGCAGCAGGGAGAATATTCTGAAAAGAAGCCAGAGCTCAGCAATTGACGGAGCTGGAGCAAGCAGCAAAGGCCTTCAGGGGAAGCTTTCCGTCACCGTCTCCGAGCGTACAAGGAGCATGAAGCAGACCGAGGTTCTCTCTGTCCCTTCCTTCCCACGCCTTTTAACCTAACAGTGCAAGTGAGGCACTTCATGAGAGGGACGCACCGCTAGCAGGCCGAGTCTGTCTGTCTTGAAGGTGCTCTTCTCCAGAGGCGCCCTCTCTGGAGGATATGCTTGCTGTGACCACTGTGGACTCAGGCCATATAAATCTAGGGAATGAGCTTACTAGGGTAGGGGAAGAGGACAGAGAGGAAAGTCAGAGTCTGGAAAAGAAACAGCCCAGAGGTGAAGATCCCTGACCCCTGAGCATTTGAGTCTTGAGTGTGTAGATAGAAAACCAGCCCAAGAGGAAGAGCCAGCACGTGCCACAGTCCTCTCCCTTGGCCTCTGGCCAGCTGCCAGGCAGACTGTGGACCTTATGGTAATGGACTGCACCAGCTGGCCACCTAGTCTTTGCTGGGTGTCACAGCAGCCTTTCACACTGTGGTGGTTAATCTGGGTTGTCAGATAGAGAGAGGCCCAGGGTTAGGAGACTTATGGGTGTGTCAGTGCGCACATTTCCAGGTGTAACTGGCTTGTGGGTCAGCAAATAGAGATGGGAGACTGCCCTGAATGTGGGTGGCACAGTCCAATAGGCTGGGGCTGGATGGAAAAAAGACGGGAGGAGGAAGCTGAGCTGAAGCCAGCTCCCTTTTTCATGAGTTGGCCTGTCTGCTGCGGCTGCCATCACCCTAGCCCCTTTGGCCTTCCAGTGTGGGCTCTGACCAGAGGCTCTCCAAGGCTTTCAGCTGAGCCTGGGGCTGCATCATGGGTCCTTTTGGTTCTGAGGCTCCAGCTTCTCGGACTGAGCAGCTGCTGGTTCCTCCAGCTCTCCAGCCTGCAGACGACCACTGTGGGAATATCCAGACTGTGATTGTGGGAGCCACCGTAAGAGATCCCCTGTTATGGTCACATGGACACACATCCTAACACAGCTCTGTTCCTCTAGAGAATCCTGACTAACGCACACATATTCTTCCTTATGTAAGACCACCCTTGAAATCCAACCTATTTTTGACAAGATTCAAACAACCATCCTGCAGCCATTATATGCTGCTAGCCATCACTCTGATTTCTGTCAGTCTTCTGGGATTTTTGAGTGTTTCAAAAATGTGCCAAGGGAGAGAAGATGGCGAATTAGAGGAGGGATGCACGTCCCGCTGTTTCCTAGGCACCAGACTTAACAAGCGGGAAGACTGTTCCTCAGAGAGGTGGGTAACTAAGGGAATTCACCGAAATTCAATACTGAACAGTTAAAGAAACCATAGAGACACAGGAAGTTAGAAACTTGAACAGAACATAAGAAATAATACCTGAGAGATGGGCCAGCTTGACTGCTGAGCGGGACCACAGGGAGAGAGAGAGGGAAGCGGAAGAGACATTGACTTGGGGGATCCTGGGGAACGGAGAGGAGGCTGACCTTAGTGCACCCAGAGTTGGTGGGGGAAGTTATTGAGTGAAAAGTAGACAGTTTGGTGGGAACCACAGTCACTAAAGGCTGGAATCATTTATAAGCACTGTGCAGCCACAAGCAGGGTCAGGAGATTGGGACCTCAAAAGGAAGTTGCCAGTGGACCCAGAAGACACCTATTATGATATCCAGGGTCTGCCTGGATCAGTGTGACTGAAATAGGCACAAAGAAAATCATGCCTAGGGCATCTGACTCCAGATACTAAGGACAGAGAGCTCCCTTATTGTTGGTGCTCCATCAGAGCTTGTGGGAAAACACAAACAAAGTTCACACAGGAAGCGTCTACACTCCAGAGTGGATACTGGGTAATTCGCATCCATAGAAGTAAATGCAAAATCTGTGGAAGTTTAGACCCTGTGCCCTAAAAGTGGATTTTATGTGAAATCCTGAGATCCAGATGTCCAGCAGAGATGGGCGTCCCTCAGCAACAAGGGGTGTAGATCAAATCTCAAATACTCACTGGCAGAGTTCCAAAGTTCTGCCAACACTAAACTTTAACTATTGGAACTTCCAGTTTTAGAACCTGCATCACCCCTTCCACAGGAGTACACGATTTGTCAACACCTCCGGGTCTATCCCATCCTAAACCGGGATATAGGGAGCTGAGAGCTATGGTAACCAGCTTGACTTCTACCCACATGACTGTCAGTGAGCTGAGGAACATAAAGACATTGGATGGAACAACTCCCAGCCCTTGACCCAAAGGATAAGAGCCCCAAAATAACTACAGAGAATAAAAATCCCTTCTCCCAGCAATTTTGACTGCCTCTGTAAAAACAAGCTCTTCGTTTCTCATTAATATTTTTTTCCTTTTTTTTGCCTACATAACCCCCATTTTTCTTTTACTTGTTTTGTAAATTTTACTTAAAAATTTTCAAATATGATTTTATTATGTATTTATTATCTTGTACTTTTTCCCATTGTGTAAGATTATGTGTATGGGTGTGTGTGTGTGTGTGTGTGTGTGTGTGTGTGTTCTGACTGTGCATATAGGTTCAAAAATACACATATTCATAAAATTTTACTTTCATTTTAATTGCTTTCTTCTGTACCTGCTTATTATTTAGTCTTGGTTTGACTTAAGTGGGGTATAATTATACGTGGGTTGAGTTGTTGTGATCTTATATTTGTTTGTTTGTTCATAGCTTAGTTTTTCTTCTTTTTTTTTTTTTTTGGTACTGGGGATTGAACCCAGGGCCACTGTTAACCACTGGGCCACATCATCAGTCTTTTTTATTTTTTTATTGCCCCTTCTTCCCTCACTTCCCCCACTGGGAACCAAATTTTCTTGTTCCCTCTTCCTCCTCTCTTTCTTTTTTTATTCCTTTTAGATATTTCTTATTCCTCCTTTTTAACAGTTGTTATCTGCTACCTATCTCCTGCCTCTACTCTCTTCACTTTTTAAATATTACAAAATTTTTGTTGCCTTTCTATGCTATTTTCCCTTCACTTAAGAAACTGTAATCTCACTCTCTAATAGAGTTATATAGTTTATGTAACTCCTTCTCCATTAATGTTGTGATTATTAATATAGTGGATGATGTAGTAGACACATGCTGTTTAATCATGATCTAGGTCATGATTTTTTATTGTTGCTGCTGATGTTAAATGCTGACCCCTCCACTCCTATGCAGTTGGCAATTAGTATTACAGATGTCATCGTAGACACTAGACATTTATCTTGAGGTGTTACGTCTGTGGATAACAGGTAACATTAAATGTTATTTCTAGCACCACTACCCCCTCCTCTGAGGGAGGTTGTAAAGATATTATGAGTCTTTAGGTTCACAGAATAGAGATTCTACTGCTGAGCATATTCACAACTAAGCCACATCTACTAGACGTCAAAAACGAAGATAAATTCCAGGACAAAAAAGATAATTACCCAAAAAGGACATGTATATCAAAGAGGAAAGAAATCCATTTCAATTGAAACACAAATCCAAGACCTCTGAAACATGAGGAAACAGGCAAGCAAATCTTATCCCCAAATTCACAGTTCTCCAACAAAGGATCCCATAAACATGGAAGTGTTTGAAAATCCAGAGAAAGACATTGAACATTACTCACCATTAAAAGAGAATAAAATCAGGGAAATGGATGGAGTTGAAGAATATAATGCTAATTGAAGTTAGCCAATCCCCAAAAAACAAATGCTGAGTGTTTTCTCTGATATAAGTATGCTGGTTCATAATGGGGATTGGTGGTGGAGGGTGAGCATGGGAGGAATAGATGAATTTTAGATGGGGCATAGGGGAGGGAGGAGAAGTGAGGGGTCATAGGGAAAGGTGGTGGAATGAGATGGGCATCATTACCCTAAGTACATGTATGAAGACATGAATGTTGTGAATATACTTTATATAAAACCAGAGATATGAAAAATTGTGCTCTATATGTATAATATGAGTTGAACTGCATTCTGCTGTCATATATAATAAATTAGAATAAGTAAAATAAAAAAGAAATAAAGATAATAAAAATAAACTAATCAAAACTCCTAGAAATAAAAAGACAATGAATCTAATTAAAAATTCACAGGAAAACATCACCAACAGATTAGATTGTATAGAAAATAGAACTTCAGGTCTTGAATACAGAACTTTTGTCCTTGAAGACAGAATATATGAACTTGAATACTTAATAGGCATCAAAAGACAAAAAATAAAAGACCATGATCAGAATGCACGAAAACTCTGGAAAGGCATCAAGAGAACAAACAAGAGAGTAGTTGGGATAGAAGAGAATATGAAGATAAAAACTAAAGGCATAAGAACATCTCCAGTGAGATAGTAACAGAAAAATTTCCTCATACTGGAAATGAGATAGACAGTGACATACAGGAGTAATTTAATATCACACAGAGACAAGATCAAAACAGAATCTCTCCAAGACACATCATAATTAAAATGCCTAACATGAAAAGTAAGGGGAGAATTTTTAAAGCTGCAAGAAAGAAATATTAGGTCACACTTAGAAGCAAACCAATAAGGTTCACTTACCATTTCTTTACTCAGATCCAAAAATCTGTAAGAGCCTGGAATGAGATATTCAAAGCTCTAAAAGAAAACAATTTCCAGGCAAGATTGCTTCATCTAGCAAAGGTCTTTTTCAAATTCAAGGAGAAAGTGAAAACTTTCCATTATAAGGATAAACTCAAAGAATTCATGACAATTAAGCCAGCACTATAAAGAATACTAAAAGACATACGGAACACAGTGGAACCCCAAAACAAACCCCAAAGCTCCCAAATAAATGAGAATCACTAGAAGAGCAACCAAGTAAATGAAAATCAAGACAGAATTAAATATAGAAATAAACTAAAGGTGCAGGAAACCACAAACAAATTAGATTAAGTAAAATAAAAAAATAAATAGAGATAATGAAAATAAACCAATCAAAACTCCTGGAAATAAAGGGATAATTAATCAAATTAAAAATTCACTGGAAAGCATCATAATAACATTGAATGTAAATTGTCTCAGCTCCCCAATTAAGCAGAATGGATTAAAAACCAGGATTCAACTATATGCTGTTTACAAGAAACTCATCTCATAGACAAAGACATCCATAGGATGAAAGTAAAAGGGTGGAAAGGAATATTACATGCAAATGGAATCTGAGAACAAGCTGGAGTAGTTGTTCTCCTATCTCACAAAGTGGATTTCAAGCAAAAATTAATCAGAAGAGACAAAGAAGGCTACTAGATACCGATAAGAGGAATAATCCAACAAGGAGATATAATGATCGTTTTATGTGTGTGTGTGTGTGTGTGTGTGTGTGTGTGTGTGTGTGTGTATTTATTTATTCCAAATGTCAGTGTACTAATAACAGAAATAAACCATTTTTTTTACAATAAATCCCAGATAGACCCCAATACAATGATACTGGATGTTTTCAACACACTCTTATCACCAATAGACCAGTTGTTCAAACATAACATCAATAAAGATATTTCTGACATAAATAACACTATAAATCAAATGGACCTACTAGACATCTACAGAACATTTTACCCCCAAACACTTGGATTTACACTATTCTCAGTGGATGGAAGCTTTCCACAAAGGGACCATATTCTGGGTCACAATGTAAGTTTTAGTAAATACAAAAAAATTGATATAGTTCTATGCATTTTATCAGATTGAAATGGAATGAAACTAGAAATCAACAGCAAGAAAAATGAGAGAAATCACATAAACACACAGAGACAGAACAATACTCTTTTAATTGAAGAATGTATCATAAAAGGAATGAGAGAAGAAATCAAGAAATTCTTAGAAACAAATGAGAACAGAGAGACAACATATCAACATCCCTGGGACAGTGTTAAAGCAGTTTTAAAATTAAAATTTATAGCATTGAGTGCCTACATTAAAAAATAGAGAGAGTTCCCAAATAAATGAGTCTATCTTCTACCTTAGAAAAGGAAGAATATAAAATAATTCCAAAACCAGTAGATGGCAGGAAATAATAAAGATCAGGGCTCAAATTAATGAGATTGAGAGTTAAATAACAATTCACAGGAACAATGCAATAGAGAGATCCTTCTTTAAAATGATAAATAAGATTGATAAACCCTTAGCCAAATTAACCAAAGAGAGAAAAAACCCAAATAAACAAGGTTAGAGATTGAAAAAGAAGATATCCTCACAGAAACTTCTGAAATCCAGAGGATCTTTAGAAACTATTTTGAAAATTTATACTACAATAAATTGGAAAATCTAAGACACGTTGGCAAATGTCTACACACATATAACCTGCCCAAATTGAATCAGGAAGATATAAAAAACCTAAACAGACCAATATCAAGTAATGGAATTGAAATAGCAATTAAAAGCCTTCCAACAAAGCAAAGCCCAGGACCAGATGGATTTTCATCTAATTTCTAACCACATTTTTTAAGAACTAGCACCAGTCTTTCTCAAATTATTTCATGATATTAAAAGGAAGGGAACACTCCCAAATACCTTTTAAGAAGCCAATATAATCCTGATACCCAAACAGACAAAAGCACACTAAGAAAAGAAAACTGCAGATCAATATCCCTGATGAACATAGATATAGAAATCCTTAATAAAAACATTAGCTAACCACATTCAAAAACACATCCAGAAGAGAATAAGATTTAGTGACCTTCCATGGCTCCAGGCTTTTCCCTTCCAGGTCGCCGCTCTCCCTGTCTTTCTTGGCTCCTGGTTCAACATTTAAGACATAGCTCAGCCTTTCACCAAGACTCACTCTTCTTACCTCCTTCCCAGGCTGATTTGGGTGGCCTGCTCAACCTCCTAAACTGCTCTATACACACACTTGAGGCAGGGTCGGGGCATATTTCAATTTTGGTGTCAGAGAGCTTTTCCTCTCTCCTTCTGCATGCCACTCTGTATCTTGGTGACTTTCAAACCATTACTTATCCTTGCTGAACCTGTTGTCTCTTCTGAAAACAAGGTTCATAATCCTATTAGTCAGGATTACCACGCGGAATAGATGGGGTTACATACATAAGGTGTGATTCAGGGTCTGATTCCACCAGGGGTGATACTTCAGGCATCATTGAGGGTATGTCTGCTGCTGTCACTCCTACAGCATTTCTATGTGCTCTGTGTCTTTGCCTCCCTTCGCCATGAAGAGATCATCTTGTCATTTTTGTATCCATTGTGCTTGGCACAGATATTTATTGAACCAATGATAAAATATTTAAAAATGTTAAAATATTTTTTACAAATTCAAATGCTCTAAGTAAGCAAATAAAGTAAACATTTTACATGAAATTTAATACCCAGTCATAGTAATGGCAGTGACGGCAACATACATTTGTACAACTGTACTGTTCAGCGAGCAGCTTTGGCATCCTTCTGAACTATGTTCTTACTTCGTTTTCCTTTACCAACGCACACCATTATTTGCCAATGCTCCCACTTAAAAAGGAATGTGTCACTGTGTTAGTTTAAATGTTTTCGAGGACTGTACCTGGCGCTACCCCTTTGATGAATTTGACCTATAATTTGATTATATAAGAAAACATCTTTGCAGGGTCTCCCTGAAGAAACAGGAAGGATCACAGGAGAAGAGGAACAAAAAAGCTGCGGGTGAGGCACTCCA